GAATTCTAGGCATGTCGTAAGGCACAAAGCTTCCTGTTTTTGTAAGATTTCAAATCACAGGCTGCCATTATGAGAGCTATAAATATTGGCAAATCATTTGAGCTATCAATATGACCAAGAGTATTATTTTCTTATGTTGCCAAYGTTTTACACTCATTTTTTTTCCATATGGGTTGTATGGATAGGATGGATGGGTGGGTATTAAATTATAAATCAAATAAAAAGTGAACATTTTAAAAATTAATGGATATTATCTGTTGAATCAGACATCTTAATTACTAACTTCCAATTTTGTTGTGAGATGAATATAGGTTTAATAAACTGATTTTTACATAGAATGAATCATTCCTTATTTTATTGTGATTGTTTTGGGAGACCTCCAATACCAATTTTTCAATTCTCCTCCATGAACTTTATTAAAGGATTTTTTTGACTGTCAAATGGCTTTGAAAACACAAAAACAATGTTTATTTAATAAGTAGGAGATGAAAATATATGTTTTGGTTGCTATTTTTATTCCTGTGGAAGTGTCCTTAAAGAGAAATTTCCAGCTGCTACAGTATTTGATGAAAGCCAGCCTCGAGGCACCAGCAGGAACCATCTGACTCTCGAAGAAGTGCCTTGGAGGCCCAGGTGGAGAGTTTCACATGGTCCACAGTCATGCTTTGACCTGGATGTTGCTTTTCCTCTGAGTGCCTTAGTCTCATGGGCTTCCCTACCTCTGAGCCTGGTTTCTGATTCTAGGGTGGGAAAGGGCTTGTGCTCCTGAGGACGATGAGATAGAAAAGTCACACTTTTCTAATAATACTATACCAGCAGACGACATGTGGGCTCTGCTAATGCAGGGAACAAATAACTGAGACTTAGAGGATGTGGAATACCTTGTAAGTAAAAGAGGATCTACCCACAGGTTGCACCTGGATAGAGCTCTTACTGTGGAGAAACGTGATTGACATCTCAGGACATGCTGAGCCTTCCATCATTACCACACTTTGGGATGATACTGGCACCAAGCAAGTGCTCAATATAATTGGCTTAAATGGACAAATGATGAATCAAACAAATAGTGAAATAYAGGAGAACTTCTTTCATTTCTTTTGTAAGGAGCTCTATGTCTCATTAATTTATTGATCATTTGCTATATAGTTTTTGAGAACTGATGATATTCTAGTTTTTTAAATATCTAGATTCCAAGATGCTTATTTTCTAATATTTGTAATTTTGGTGTGAGGCATGAGTTAGGAATCTAAGTTTTAGAAGATGATTGCCCAGGGCTGGGGTTGTGGCTCAGAGATAGAGCGCTTGCCTAGCATGAATGAGGCACTGGGTTCAATCCTCAGCACCAAATAAAAATACAATAAAGGTATTGTGTCCACCTATAACTAAAAAAAAAAAAATGAAAAAGAAAATGACCGTCCAATTGTATCAACAACGCTTAATGATCCATTTTTCCCCTCATTGATATGAAATGTCACCTATTTTCTCTAGTATACTTCTGGATTTTTTTTTCTATCAATTTGTCTATTCTTGAACAGTGAATTTTCCATGGATTTATAAMATTTGCTAACATTTAGTAGGTAACTCATCTGTAGTGCCATTCTTCTTCAATATATTATTGGTTATTCTTTMTTAATTATGTTTCAAATGTGTCTTAGGATTATTTGTCAATTAATTTTGAGAAAAAATGATTTTTTTACAGTGCTAATTTAGGAATATGGAATGTCTCTCCAGATATTCATGTCTTCTTTTATGTTTATAGAAAATTTGTTGTTTTCTTCATATAGAAGAAAATGTTTCTAATCATCATTGGATTCATGGACTGGTTTACATCTGTACTCAGTCATCACCTTCTCCTGACCACTAACCATAGCATGTTGCCCATCTCCCTTAAGTTTTCTTTTCCGATTTTTTTTTTGTTGTTGTGTTGCAATGCACCCAACCTCTACAATCTTATGCTTTTTAAGTCTGTAGTTCAGTGGTATCAGATGCATTCATAGTCTGTACAGCTATCACCATTACCCATCTGCATAACACTTTGTACCTTATCAAACAAAATTCTATATCTATTGAGTAATAACTACTCCCTCCTCTCAACTTCTGGCAACCACCATTCAACTATTCGTCTCTATGGTTTTGACTTCTCTAAGTACTTCATGTAAGTGGATTTATATGGTGTGTGTGTGTGTGTGTGTGTGTGTGTGTGTGTGTGTGTGTGTGTGTGAGAGAGAGAGAGAGAGAGAGAGAGAGAGAGAGAGAGAGAGAGAGAGAGAGAGAGAGAGAGAGAGAGAGAGAGAGAGAGAGAGAGAGAGATTGGCTTATTTCACCTAGCATAACGTTCTCAAGGTTCATTTATTCATATTGTAGCATGTGTCAAATTTTTCTTTCTTTTTAAAGGCTAAATAATACTCCATTGTGTATATATGAGAATAAAGTTGGACCCTTACCTAACACCATGTACTACATTTTGCTTATCTATTCATCTATAGGTAGATATTTGTGTTGCTTTCATGTTTTAGCTACTGTGAATAATGTTGCTAGTAAGCACAGGTGTACAAATGACTCTTTTTAAATTCTTTTGGGTATATACCAGAAGTGAAATTTCTTGCTCATGTGGTAGTTTTATTTTTTAATTTCTTGAGGAACTGTTATACTGTTTTCCACAGCAGCCGTGCCATTTTGCATTCCTATGAATAACACATAAGTAGACCAGTTTCTCTGTATCCTTGCCAACACTTGTTGTTTTCTGGTGTTTTGATTTTTTTTTTTGAAGCAGTCATCCTAAAGGATGTGAAGTGGTATCTCTTTGTAGTTTTGATTTGCATTCCCTAATAATTAATGATGCTGAACATCTTTTTATGTGCTTATTGGACACTTATTTATTGTCTTTGGAGAAATGTTTCTACAAGTCCTTTGACTATTTTCTTAATTTTTGGTGTTGAGTTTTAGGAGTTCTCTGTATATTCTGGATCCTAATCCCTTATCAGTTATATGATTTGCAAATATTTTCTCCCACTCTGAGGGCTACCTTTTTTATTGTCGCTATTATCTTTTAACACATAAAAGTTCAAAAATTTCCTGAAGTACAATTGTTCTATTTTCTTTCAACCTTTGGTGTYATTTTCAAGCAGTCATTGCCAAATTCAATGTTGTCAAGATTTTTGTCCTGTTTATTCTTAGAGTTTTATGATTTGGGCCTTACTTATATTAGGTACCTTACATTTGATACCTTTCGTGTATTTTTTGTATATGGTGTTAGGTAAGTGTTCAACTTTATTCTCATGCATGTGGATATCCAGTGTCCCCAGCACCATTTTTTGAGGGGAGATTATTCTTTTCCCTGTGCTTTGACATCAGGGTAATACTGTAATCCTGTTTTAACATTTTGCCCATTTTTACAGGTCTTTAAACAAGAAATCCTGTTTTTATTTTAAAATTTCATGGTAATTTTGTATGTAAAAATAAGCAAGTATGGATATWTGTTTTCAAATGATTTTTTTCACTTATTATTATGTTTTCAGGATTCACTCATCTGGACCGTACATCTCGAGTTCTTTCATTTTGACGGTGGGTTAATAAACCGCAATTCATTCACTCATTCTCTTGTTGGTGGACACTTAGGTGGTTTCCAATTCTGCTATTACATACATTGCTGCGCCAAAACTACTAGTGYATATTAGAAGCAGATTGACTAGGCATCTTCATCTTTATTAGATGTTGCTGAATTGTTCTGTAAAGTAGGTATACTCCAGCAAGATGTGAGAACTCTTGTTTCTCAATATGTTTGCCAACACTTAGCACTTACTTACCAGCTTTAAAATTTTCAATCTGGATGACAAAGGAAATATTATTTTTTAAATTTCCAGATTAATAAATAGGATGGGTATGTTTGAATATGTTTAATAAACCATGTGGATTTTCTCTTCTCTGAAGGATCTGCTTATTTGTGTTGTCTATCTTTTTGCTTTCCTCCCTTTTTTGTATTGACATATAAGATTTTAAATATTTAGTTGACTTTAAATATTTAACATTTAATTTGGTTAATAATATAGGGATTGTATCTTTTTCCACTCTGTTTTTTTATTTGTTGAAGTCTTAAATTTTAATATGGTCAAATTTATCTTTTTTTAAGAGTATATAATTTTTCYTTGTATTTTTTATTTGAAGAAATTCTCTCTTGCTGTGAAATGATAAAGAGAGCCTATAATTTCTTCTACAAATTTGCTCCTTCATGTTTAGTTCTTCATTTATTTATATATTTTTAGTACTGATGATTGAACCCAGGGACTCTTTAACACCGAGCCTCATCTTTAGCCTTTTTTATTTTGAGACAGGGTTTCTTTAAGTTGCTTAGGGCCTTGACTTGTGATCCTCCTGCCTTAGCCTCCTAAATTGCTGGGATTACAGGCATGCACCACAATGCCCAGCTTACATAATTGACCTGGAATTTATTTTTGCAGGTGATGCGAGATAGAGAAGTCTATTTTTTATTTATTTATTTAATGGTGCTGGGGATTGAACCCACGGCCTTGTGAGTGCCAGGCAAGCACTGTACCAACTGAGCTATCTTCCCAGCCCAAGAGCCTATTTTTTAACGCTTTGGTAATTATTTGTTCTAATAATATTTGTTGAACAAATTCATCCTTTCCTCCAGATTGGAATGCAGTGCCACCATTGTATGTTTCAAGTTTCCACTGTCCCATGGACAAGGTTTGCATTTTGTATTTTCTTATATTCATTTGTTAGCCTAACCTTCAAGAAATCTCACACTCTCTTTAACATAACTTTTAAATAAGTCTTGACAAATATGAGTGGAAAATTTACTTGTTTGACTTAAAATTTGTATTGACTTGTTCGTGGTCTTTTGCTCTTTTATATGGATTCTAGTTTCAGATTATAAAGCTACACAGAATTATTGACTTTTTTTGGTTACTCATTCTTTATTTAATATATTTTAATCACACTACAAAATTTGGTAACAGTGAATTTGAAGATTTTAAAAAGAATATATGGAATGCTTTTTTGAATTTACATATCATCCTTGCACAGAGACCATGCTAATCTTTTCTGTATCAACCAACACTGATTTGTACAGAAAATCCTGGAACACAAGAAAATTTTAGTACATGTGCTGCTAAAGTGAGCACAAAAAGATCTTAATCACCTCCCAAAACCATTATATGCTTGGGTGTTTTCTTGGATGCTGTTTTCTACACCAGATTCCAATTTTTTGATGACAAGCCTGGCCAACTCTTCTTGGCTACGGCGGGTTCTTATCCATGTCCCTCTCTCTCCTGCTCTCTTGTCCCTAATTCTCTTCCCTTGAATATCTTCTAAAAGCCCATCTCCAAAGGTTTTAAATCATATTGAGAAATATAAGTTTGCAGTTATTTAATTATTGATTTTCTTAAAATGGCTCACATTAATCTCCCCTCCCCCCAGATCTCAGAGGCTGAAACCATGTTGTAATGATTGATCCTTTGAGCTGATATTTTCTTTAGACTAAGGGTTGTGCCTAAATCTTTCCCAAATCTTGAGTAAAACAATGTTAATGATCCTGAAATTCATTACACCTTTGATGAATGGTCSTTTTCTCTGGATAGTGCAACATCTCTACTTACTTGAGATGCTATAATTCTTTTGTCTCTTTGGCTGTCATTGCCCTGCTAGCTGGACACACCCATAAGGCATTGCAAGAAAAGSTTAAAACTACTTTGCTGATGAGGTCATTCTGTGTTCCAGGATTTTCCGTACAGATCAGTGTTGGTATCTTCTACCCCAGTAAATAAGAAATGAATGCAATTTACACTGGTGTATGGGGGTACCATTTATAATGTATCTAAAATATTAGAAGCATAAACATGTCTTGGCAAGATGTTGCTAGGCAATACCAAATTCAGATTGGGGGGGGGTGCTCTGCTGTAAAGGAGCTCTCCTGCTGGGTCTTGGAGCTACTTTGGCCTCTGCTGAGAATGGCTGTGTTTGATGATTAGATTGGCTCAGATTCATTCCCTCTCAGAGAGGATTTCCGTGTCTCCCTTGGAATTAATCCACAAGAACAGAATCCAATTTCCTTTTTCTTGCAGCATTGCCACAGGATGTCCCTTAACCGCTGACTCAGGTTGGAAATATCAGGCTGCTGCGCCATCAACCGCGGTTTTAGAAGCACTGCCATGCCCCATGGCTATGAGCAAAATTCTTGGTCAACAGAGATCTCTCTGTTTGGGTCTTGAGTGAGCAGAGTTGATTAACGCCTATGAAAAGAACTTTGACAATTAACTGGACTGGGGAAACATATAAATAATAATAAAAAAAAGAATGGTATTTAAATTTAAAGCTGAAACCAGGCCCCTCTGATAGCCCTCTTTGTTGCTGTCATCCATGCTTCTTGGTTGAAGGTATTCATTTATGCATCCTCATTTATTAAGGACTCGATCATTCGGGTCACTGTCCATATCCCTAACACTAATCCTATCACCAGACAAATATTGAGTATCTATGCCTGCAATTTTTTTTCTCCTTTTAAGACTATGGGAAAAAGTGTATAGTGCCAGGTGCTGTGGTGCACACCTGTAATCTCAGCAGCTCMGGATGCTAAGACAGGAGGATTGAAAGTTTAAGGCAGCCTCAGTAGCTTAGTGAGGCCCTAAGCAACTTAGTGAGACCCTGTCTCAGAATAAAAACAGCTGTGGATGAGGCTCAGTGGTTAAATCTCCAGTACCCAAAAAAAAAAAAAAAAAAAGCATAAAGTATGGTATCACTGTAACTACTAATGAAATTAAGACCATACCATCTCAAAATATATTGCTGTAGCACATTGACCATTTTGAATTAAGGGCACATAAAAAATAGTAAGTGTAACAAGGTCTCTTTGACCTTCCTTTTGTTTCCTAAAAACAGGAGATAAAAATTCCCTTGTAAAAGATGTCCTCCCTATAACCAGAAGGAAAGTATTATTCTTGTCATTCAAGGACAGAAAGTTGAGATGAGAGAAGAAATCCGTGCAAACAAATCTTGTTTAACCCTTATCTACCTYGTCACTTCTCTACCCAATTAACCACATTAGCCCAAGCCCCTTTGCCTTGTCACCCCTCACCCACCCCTCATCCAGTCAGGTACATCRGTGTTCAACTCTCACTGTGCCAGTGAGTTCTCATTTCCTTGTGAGGGCTCCTGTGTCGTGTAGAACTCCTACTAAATACACTTGTGTACTTTTCTCCCGTTGATCCTTCTCATGTCAGTTTAATTCTAAGGCCCAGTAGGAAATCCCTAAGAGAGTAGAGGTAAAACTCTCTCTCTCTCCTTTACAACCTGTGTCCATACCACACAGCTTTACACGATTCTAATACCTTGCTGTGTTTGCTTCAGATAATTTTTCATTAAGRAAATCTGGGGCTGGGGTTGTGGCTCAGTGGGTAGAGCACTTGCGTCGTAGCATACATGAGGCACTGGATTCCTTCACCAGCACCACATTAAAAAAAAAAAAAACTAAATAAACAAAATAAAGGTATTGTGTCCATCTRTAACTAAAAATATTTTTAAAAAGAAATAAAATCTAACAAATACAATAAAACCTACCCTGATACCATTTCCAGAAAACATGACTATCCTGATCTGTACTTATCATAGCTATGCATCTTTTTATCTTATCAATGCACATGTATTTATTCATATTTTTTATACCAATRTTTTGCAGGCTGTAGTGGTTTCGCTAATCTATATGGGAGTGAAATTGTATTTCAGTGATACTTTATTTTGCATTATCTTAACTTTAAGAAGAATTGAATATACTGTCATATTTTTATTTTTTATTGGCTGTTCAGACTTTTGTCTCAGAGAATTGTTTTACTTTAAACCTTGGACCTTCTCCTTTTTATTTTTTGGTATAAATTCTTTTTTTCCCCTTCCTTCCTTCCTTCCTCCCTCTCTTCCTTCCTTTCTTTATGTCTTTCTTTTGTGCTGGGAATTGAACCTAGTGGCAATGGTGCTTTATCCTTGAGCTACATCCCTTTTTATTTTTTATTTTGAGGCAAGGTTTAGCAAAGTTGCCCAGGCTGGCCTTGAGTTTATGTTCCTCCTGCTTCATCCTCTCAAGTAGCTTGGATTGCAGGTGTGYACCACTATGCCAAGCTGCTATGAATTCTTTATATATTCTGAATACCAATCTTTTGCCAGTTGCAAGTCAAATACTTCTTTCAAGTGATTTGTATTTTCTTTTTGTTAAAAGTATCTTGATGTATGAAGGTTTTTAAATTCAGTTTTTCCTTTTGGTATATTTCAAAATCCTTCCCTAGGTATGGTCACAAATATAATTTTCTATATTTTTGTCTTAAGATTTTAATGTTTGCTTTTCTGATTTGTTTCATCTCAAAWTTTTTATAGATGCTATTTAATAAGGATCTAATTTTTACTGTTTTCTAATAAGTACTTATCCAAGCCACTTATTGACTAGTTGCTTCTATCCCCATGATTTTTAGTACTAGCTCTGATATATTATTAAGTTTTTAAAAATTGTAAACCCTAACCCTTGTTGTTATAGTGGGACCTCTGGTAACCAAGTCTCATTGACAGATTTGGTTAGCCCTCCACCAATTCTATTCTGTATTAATCACAGCTCAGGATCTAAATATGTTCTTCTTCAGGCTTTGACTCTTTTTGGCTTTTTGGTTTTCCATATGAATTTTARAATCAAGTTGTCAAGGTGCACAAAGAATATTTTTGCATTTTTATTGGATTTGCACTGCTTTTATGGATTCATTTTGGAAGATGATCTCTTGATGAGATTGAGGCTTCCTATCTATGAACAACGATCGCTTCTCTGCTTACTTATTCAGGGCTTCCATACTGTCCTTTGATACTGTACTATGAATTTTTCCACAATGTATTGCATATACATTGTAGATTTAGTTCTCAGTCACATCTAGTACTTATTATTTGTGAAAAAATATGATATTAAAATTTTACTATTGCTGCTTATTTTGTTCTGGTGTATAGAAAGTGATTGATTTTTGTATTTCAATCTAGTATCCCAATAACTTGCTGAACCTTAATGGTTTATAAATKATCTTGGATTTTTGTATGTTGATAATTACATCATCTATCAATAATGACAGTTTGGAATTGATTTACAAACTTTATAATACTTTTTCTTGTTTCACTACACTAGCAAGGTCTTTCTTCCAGTATAATGCCTGATAGAATCAGGAATAGTGGGCATACTATACCTTTTCTACTCTAATGAGAATGTAACTAGAAATTACCATGAAATATGATGTTAGTTTTAGAAATGTTGCTGATTTTTATTGTTATATTAAGGATATTTCTTTCTATTATTATTTTACTATGAATGGGTTTATATTATATCAAAAACATTTTCTGTAGCTATTGAAGGAATCACATAACTTTATTTGCCTTACTTTTGTGAGGTAAGTTACACTATTTTTTTCTAATATACTATATTTGTATTCCTAGGATAAAAATAGTTTGGTTGAAGGKTTTTTTTTTATTCAGTTAATCTTCAGACATTTATGAAGGCAGTGTGAAAGATGCTGAATGAGTCTCATTTAGTATCTATTTCAGTTTCCTTCTTCCTTATCTTTATAAATCATGATGGTTAAAAGTGAAATACTAGAACTCACAATCTCTCCTATAGCCAGGTATGGAGTATGACACAATTCTGAGCAACAAGATTTTTGCCCTTTGCCCTGGCTAAAACTTGAGCTGACGCATGTTAGAGTGGCAGACACTCTGATAATATGAGGGGAAAAGGAGGCTGGGAAGGGAGGCATGGGAGAAACATCTGGGACATTAAATAGACTATGAGGAAATTGATTCACCTGGAAGCAAATCACTTCCATGTCAAACAACAAGAAATTATTAGACAGTCATGTTATTTTGACCAGAATTATGCAGAGTTCTTCTCTTTGTCCTTCCCTCCATTCCTATCAACTTGGCATGGTCTTTTACAAGTCTTTTAATTTCTCTACTTAAATCCAGTTTCTTCCCTTCCTTGATGACTTCATGAAGCTACAGCTTCACTCTTGGTTTCTCAAGCAGTGTATTTTCAGTTATGTGAGAAAAAGAAAGCCTTTATTTAGTTAAACTGCTGTAAT